AGCCACGTTCTTTGCCTGAAAATGTGGTGGAGCAATAATCCGAATGTGGTAACCCAACTCCGAGGTCCCTGAGAAGTAAATTCCCTGATCCAACGAGGACGTTTGACACCAGGGGCAGCACGGGTATAATCATTGTGTACCCGGGGCAGCACCAGGGGCAGCACGGGTTACAAGGGACTGTTGTGGCACTGAATAACCCTCGTTTTGGCCAACCTAGACTAAGCCACCGGGCGATTCTATGTCCCCTCAGTACTCCGTAGTTACTCCTCATTCGCCCTCTGTTCTCTCCTTTCCCCCACAGTGTAGTGTCACCGTATCACCCTTCCGCTGTCTGCTCCTCTTGCAATGATCGTGTTGGATTTTGTGTGTGTGCGGGAGCATTGCAAATCTGGACAAGGGGGGGGATGGGTTGAAGGTTGTGGTGGTGGGATGGGGGAGGACTGGATATATGGGGAAGGGAACTGGGGTGGGAGACGGGCGAGGGATGGGAGCTGGTATTGCGTGCATGCGTTCGTGTGTTGGCAGGGATTCAAAATTATTGTCTTATGTGGACTCCCCCAGTGCCTCCATACCTGCCTCCATCACCGGTCTTTCCACTCTGCAACTCCTGTGCGTCACCACCCACCCATCCCTCTCCCTCCACTACAGTTTACATCCGTCTTGCATCTACCATGCCTTTCATTCGTTTGCATTGGTCTCGCCCCAACCTCGTACTGCTCTGTCCTTCCATCTCATTCTCACATCGCATTCGCATGCCACAACTGACCATACCCTCTTCCAGCCCTTGCATGCCATGCCTCCCTTGCAGCCCTTGCATGCCTCCCTTGCAGCCCTTGCATGCCTCCCTTGCAGCCCTTGCATGCCTCCCTTGCAGCCCTTGCATGCCTCCCTTGCAGCCAAGGTTAAAAAATACGGTAAACGTAAATTACGGCTCGTAAATTACGGTCGTAATTTACGGTGGTTTTGGCAAAAATACGGTCGTTTTTTAAATGGACATTTTTTGCGGCAATTTCTTTTTCCAGAAATTCCTAGAAAGCTTACAACGATGACAAGGAAGGCGACAACATACTACACTACAGAATGGTGGTTTTTGCCCTGGTTTAACTTGGTGGTGTTGCGTTGGCGAATGGAATATGCAAAAGGGATGAGATGGAAGGGATGAAGATTGGACGGACGCTATTGGTTTAGGGTTTAGGTGTGTCGAAATTGAGTTGAGTAGCGCATGCGGGCGAAAAAAACGAACGGGCCGCGAAACGACCCACCGACTTGGCGAAACAGGTAGACTTGTGTTATCCGTTCGCCAAATGTACAATTTGCCGCGTCGCACAAATTTGTACATTCGCGATTCGGCGAAATACACAAACGAGTGTGCGAATGGGCAACAAACCTGTTGAACTGTCACCAAAATGCACAATGTCGCGCCTCGAGATTTTGCTGACACTCGCGACTCGGGAAAAATACACTCTCGAGTGGGTTTGGGGCCACGAAAATTCTCACGAACAGGTTGACGGTTGGGAAATGTTGAAATTCGCTATACACAAACTCCGTTTCAAACTTTCGGTCGTAATTTACGACCGTATTTTTGAACCAACCTATTTTTGCAACGTCAAACCGTTTTTTACCGTAATTTACGACCGTAAATTACGATACCGTAATTTACGGTAAATTTTCAAAAATACGGTCGTACTTTTTAACCTTGCTTGCAGCCCTTGCATGCCTCCCTTGCAGCCCTTGCATGCCTCCCTTGCAGCCCTTGCATGCCTCCCTTGCAGCCCTTGCATGCCTCCCTTGCAGCCCTTGCATGCCTCCCTTGCAGCCCTTGCATGCCTCCCTTGCAGCCCTTGCATGCCTCCCTTGCAGCCCTTGCATGCCTCCCTTGCAGCCCTTGTGCGCTAGCCAGACCACAAGCTGCAAAACTTCAATGCCACAGACCTCAAGGCTCCATTTTATCTTCCTCTTGCCATCTACACTGCTGTTCATGCGCTCCCATCCCATCCCACAGTGATCTGACCTACTTTATTTTGGGCGGACCCATTCCATCCCTCGCCAGTCTCACTGACCTCACGTACCTGTGAGTGCTGCTCTTCCATGGTTCCAAACCAGGCCAGGTCAGCTGAATGCTGGACTAGCCCCTGCCCATCGAATATGCCCATCCACCATCCTCCTTCACTCTTCTGCATCCCCTGATCCTGCTCTTTCCAGCTTGATTGATCGTTGTTCTTAGCGAATTCCCAATGCTGGAGTCAATTCCCTTCCCTTCCATAGCTGTCATTACCAATTGCTTGTACAAGTACTCGTGAAGTTCTTGTTCATTCCAAATTATAACTTCTTCCCTAAAATCTGCATCCGCGTGGCTGCAGCATGTGTTTCCGTTTCCCACTAACTGTGCCACGTGCACCCTTCATGTGTACTGTTGCTGCTTGCATGCCCCATGTGCATTCAGAGCCATTGGGACCAGTGGTGGTGCCAGTGGCAGCCCTCAGACTGGCACACTGGACGGACTGGCTTGGCTCTCCTCCCTCACCAAACTGCAAATACTGTACTTCACAGTCTTCACGCCATGCAAACACTGTTCATCTTACAAACAAGCCAGTGTTATTCCTGCAAGAAAACAGTGTCGCTGTCACTCTTCTTCCACTTTGTCATCCAGCCTCGTTGTCTTAGTTTAGCAATAGCCTTTAGCTGCTGTTAGGGAAAAGTTTCTGATTTCTTCGTTACATATTGTTCAAAACAGGGGATTGCACAATTCAAACCAAACAAAAATTTATGAGCAACTTAAAATGAGTTGGGAGCCTCGTGTAATGCGTCTGCCGCATTTCACCTCGTGTCGCACAGCAGAACCGAATTCGCTAACCAATCTTGAAACCAAAACTGACCTGTCGTATCCGCGCCGAACACGGTTCAGCTTTGGTTGGACATTTTTGGCTGCGACAATATACTTCTCAACGTTTGCCAAATTGTTTACGTTTTTCTTGCCCTTTTCACGTGTTCTTCCCTAGCTCCTCATTTTTCACTCCAACCCCACTGTTCTAGCTCCACTAGATATTTCACACTAGGTTGACTTTTCCCACCGCTCCTAACATAGTTCTACCAACCCTAGGTCAAGCACTCAGGGGGGCACTAGGCCAGCCAAACACGCTGCACGCCACATGGCTCCACTCCAGCTGGAGTCCAGCATGCGATGCAGCAGTCCCCATGCTCCTACACTACACCACCCCCAACGGCTTCTCTTCTTCCATGTCGCACTTCCCTCTCTTCAACCAGGACTCTAGAGTACTTGGGGGTTTTGACAGGGGACTCGTCCTCCCTGCACATTCTCTCACACTTGAGAAGCCTACATTATCTGTAAGCATGATCTCCATACAAGAACGTATGGTATGGTGGTGGCACCTTGTTCCTATTCTCATTCTACATGTCACCATGTGAGTTGGTCCATATTACCATTTGGCAATGGTAGTTCACTCATTATTGCTGATTACATGTTCATACGTGCAGGAAAGCCAGTAAGCTAAAAAACGCCAAAGGGGATACCCAGAGAGCTTCAATACCTGACTGCCCTCACTGCACTGTAAGCTCCACCCAAGTCTGATGGGGCAGGTGAAGTGGATTCGTTCATGTGCACGATCAACACATCCCCAACTCAACCCCTCGCCGGACATGACAGCTGCTCTATCTATCTATCCTGCTCTTATCGTCCTCCCTGCTGCAGGGATCTATCCTACCTTCGTTTTGTGGAGTTTCCGATTTGGATCACTCAACTCACCAACCTTCAGTATCTGTGAGCTCCTCTCCTCCTACTTCACTCCCCACCTCCACCATTGCCACACGCCACATCCCCCACCCCACGAGGCACGAGAGCCACATGTGTCATACCATGACCATGCATGATTGAGCTGCTCTAAGTGCGCCGAATCTTCCCGGCCTTTTCTTGTGCGCAGGAACTTGTATGCAGACTATCCACAACGCCAGGGACGATTGCTGAATGATGATCTCTCTCAGCTCACAGCACTCACCAGCATGTGAGTTTAGTGTGGCTTTAACTTGGTGAGGGTCCATGGGTATCATCTTTTCAATCTCAGAAGCAAAATCTTCAGGAATTGGGCTTCCTTTTCTACCTGTTGAAAGCTAGTACTGCTAGGGTGTTTAGGAAAGCAGCTGATATGTACGAGCGTGACGCGTTAGAGGTGACCGTGATATGCATAAGCGTACTGTGGCTTACTCAGACTGTCACTGTTGCTGCAACGCTGTACGCAAGAAAATCACTCATAATTCCTGCCCTACTACTTTCTCATGAATCCCACCATTCAATACTCAAGCGTCCATCTGTCCCTTTCTCCCACACTCTGCAGGTCCCTCCACGGAAACAACCTCGAAGGCTACCTTCCCAATAGCTGGACCTTTCTGGTCCATCTGCAAGAGCTGTGAGTTACTGTTTGTCATACATACCAACTTGCCATCCTGCCTGCCATGTTGCCATACAGAGTTTCTCTCTACTGTGTCGTCTAGGATTGATCAAGTATCGCTGACCTGTATCCAAACCAAGCAGGAGGTTTGTTTGCCAAAAACAATCGGAACGGCTCGAAATGAATTTTTACAGCCCTTAAATTGCTTCTCTAGGAAACTCGTGCTGCTCGAGCTGCGAACCTGGAGTTGGATGTGCCTCAACTTGTTTGATTTGAAGGTTCAGAATAGTTCAACCTGAACCAGTACTGGTCTCTTACAGAAATAAGGCAGCGTTTTCCTTTGCTTAAAGCCTATCCAAGTCATCCCAGTTTTGTTTTTTTTACACAAATTTTTTTTTTTTTTCAGAAAGTTGGGAGTCAACCGATTTGAAGGCACCATTCCGGCAACATACTCGGCCCTAACAGGCCTGACTGCAATGTTAGTTTCATGTGTCCTCCCTGCTTCCATTGTCCCACCCTCACTCTGTTAGCCCTTGTCTGTATCCCTCGTCCCTTCCTCACTCAGTACACCACTTGTTCTGCCCCTCTCTACTGCAGAGACTTGTCGTGGAATCAACTGACTGGTACAATTCCCCCTGCATTTGCCACCAGCATCCAGTCAATGTATGTCACTCCTCCCTCCGCCTCCAGTCAATGTATGTCACTCCTCCCTCCGCCTCCAGTCAATGTATGTCACTCCTCCCTCCGCCTCCAGTCAATGTAAGGCAAGAGCCTCGGGCGTCCTTTGACTGCCTCTGCCAACCTTGATGCTTTCAACCAATCATGCAGAAACCCATGAAAAATAGTGTATAGCTGCAGGCCGATGCACCCACACTTGCAAAGGAGCCACTCACCATTCCAGTGGAATGGCCTACACCATTGCTTTCACGCAGGTTTACGAACAAATGCCTGAATTTCATCCAGCTCCATGCCATGTAACGAGGCTCCCTCGCAAATTACTCCAAATTCTTTCCCGAGCATAACCCAAACCACTTCCCCGTGTAATTTCAATCGTCCCTATGTGAATCCTACTCACATCATTGCTGGTTCGATATCTCACATGTGCACCACCAACATTTCAACAATGGCTGCTGCATGGCTTCCTGCCTTACCCTGCCATGCCAAGCCACAACGCGCACCCCAATCCCGCTACTTGTTTTGCTTGCACTCTGCTGATCTCTACACCAACCATTTTCACGTTCACTTCCCCTCTCTTCCTTTCACCCCTCCCACTTAAGTTTTCCATCCCCTCTCTTCCTGTTTTGCACCCTGTTGATCTCTACATCATTTTCACGTTCACTGCCCCTCTCTCCCCTCCCCTCCCCCCCCCCCCCCCCCTCTCTGACTTCAGTGTCCCATTCCGCCTCTCTTGTCCTGCTCTCACCATCAGCTCCTTTTGAATCGCCTCAAAAGTCCTGGTCTCACCATCAGCTCCTTCAGCCCTCCACCCCCCCTTTCACTCCCGCCTCACTTCGTATTCTCGAACCCTTATTCCCCATGGCCTCACATCTTTTGCTCCACTCTTCCTTTTTTCCTTGTCGCCTCCTGTCTTGTCTCCCTATCCAGATTGCTCCATTACAATGCTTTCACTGGGCCCATCCCACCGCACCTGCTGGCACTACCCAACCTCTCTGAACTGTGAGCCCCCCATGTTTGCCCATTTTTATGCATTCATCTTCTCATCTTATTTTTGAATCGACTCAAAAGTCGTCCTGTTTACCCATTTTTATGCACGCATCTTCCAATTTCCAGACCTATTCACCCCTTGGGCTCTCCTCCCACTTGAACTCTCTGCCCCACCCCGTTTCTCGAATCTTGTGTCTTTCCCTTACTAATCTGCAAGGGTTCCTGTTCGGCTGCCCTGGCTGCAGAATACTATCACACAATCATTTCACAGGAGCCATTCCCAACAACTTCACTCGCCTCAATAGGATGAATCTTCTGTATGTCTCTCCGCAAGCGGCGCTTCCCCCATATACCTCTCCCTCCCCCCATGACACGAAACTGCTGCGTGCAACAGAATCACTTGGAGAGTCTCACGTGTTACTGATTGTTCTTTGATGTGCGTCGTTTGACCATAGTTACAGCTTCTCCTGCCTCATGCTGGTTGCGTCCTATGTGTGTGTGCATGTGTGTGTGTGTGTGTGTGTGTGTGTGTGTGTGTGTGCGTGTGTGCATGTGCGTGTGTGCGTGTGCGTGTGTGCGTGTGCGTGTGTGTGTGCGTATGTGAGTGCGTGCGTGTGTGTGAGTGCACACGTGCACGGGCTCCGCATGACAGAGACATTTCTTCCAACAATCTCAGCTCAGGTCTTGACGTGGTGGCTCAGATGACATGGCTCCAAGACATGTGAGTGTTCTCCCCTCTTCACCTTCTCAGCTGGCCCTCACCTTGCTTTCCATCGCTTCCCTTTGCCCACTTTGGCTCCCTGCAACATCCGAGCTAAGACACTCTCTCCAATCCAATACTGGCTGTGCAGATCGATCAATGACAACAACTTCTCGGGTGTGCTTCCAGCGTCGTTCGCAGCAATCAGTGGCATCACAAACTTGTGAGACCACTCGAGCCACCTCTCACCTCATCTAAGCTACAACCCCTTTCACTGCACCTAATCGGGTGGATGGGATGCAACAGCAGTAAGCGTTGTGACTGCCCTTCACCTGAGTACTTATGTGCCCGCGCTTCTTTTATCGATTCTTGTATTCTTGTATTCAAATTCATGGTGGATAAACGCTTGTTGTGTGCACAGTTGTATGCACTTGTACACTTTCTATCTTCACAGTTTATTTCCTGCGTCCATGTAATGTACAATTGCCAGAGCACGTATGCAGTGGCCTGTGCATAAGCAAAAGAATGTGTGCTTTCCCATTTATTTGTTTTACTATTTCCCCATCACGCCCTGTATATTGGGTCTCATTCAGGGTTGTTTACAACAACCATTTCACTGGAACCTTCCCAAGTTTTGTTCTGCGCCAGAAGGACCTCTTTATCCTGTAAGGCATTCACTCGTAAACTTGAGCACAAGGGATTTGCGCTGATGGAACAAATGCTTCTATTTCTTCCACTGAAACAGCTATTTGACACAGCTATTTGAACTAGACATGAGCAAAACGGCGAGCGAAACAAAGTACCAATCCGAATTGGTTTGCTTTGAGATTGGCCTGCACTTGAAGGTTGGTTTTCAACTGTACTGCACTTGAAGGTTGGTTTTCAACTGAACTGCACTTGAAGGTTGGTTTTCAACTGAACTGCACAAAAGAGCCTTCTATTCGTGTAATGCATCCATGCGCGACCAATTTTTGAGAATTCTTGAAAATCGCTCATGAAGAGCCCTATTATTCCTGTAATGCATCCATGCGTGACCTCAAACAATGGCGGGTTTCACTGATGAAACTACTGCTGCCATTTCTTGCAGTACTTCCTGAAAAAACTGCCTGAAATACTCCAATGGCAATCGTAATCTAAATCGTCATGGCAGAAACTTGGCCAACAACAGTTTCACAGGGACCATTCCCCGTGAATTGACCAAGCTTGTCAACCTAGCCCACATGTAAGTTGCACTGCTGCAAAGTGTAGTGGGATGGGACATGAACGAAAGAAATAATATTGCCAAGTAGGGCAATGACTTGGGGTTGAGGACCTGCTAGCAAATATGCCATGCTGTAGCCTTGTGTGAACATACACAAGGTCACTCTGAGGCTCTTGGTACCATTGTGCAGATATCTCAATAACAACGATTTTTATGGAACAATCCCATCCGGCCTGCTTCAGCTACCCATTTTGTACACGCTGTAAGCAGCTCCAATACACCTTGTTTAAGAAGATCCTATTCTTAAGACGTCTCAAATATCTACTTGTTTCACGCAGCTCCAACACCCCTGTTTCAGAAGTTCCTATTCTTCCACCTGCAAGTCTTCCGAGTGAAGGTCTGAGTACTTCCGAGTGAAGGTCTGAGTACTTCTGAATGAAGGTCTGAGTACTTCCGAGTGAAGGTCTGAGTACTTCCGAGTGAAGGTCTGAGTACTTCCGAGTGAAGGTCTGAGTACTTCCGAGTGAAGGTCTGAGTACGTCCGATTGAAGGTCTGTCTGAGTACTTCCGAGTGAAGGTCTGAGTACTTCCGAGTGAAGGTCTGAGTACTTCCGAGTGAAGGTCTGAGTACTTCCGAGTGAAGGTGTGAGTAGTTTCGAGTGAAGGTCTGAGTACTTCCGAGTGAAGGTCTGAGTACTTCCGAGTGAAGGTCTGAGTAGTTTCGAGTGAAGGTCTGAGTAGTTTCGAGTGAAGGTCTGAGTACTTCCAAGTGAAGGTCTGAGTACTTCGAGTGAAGGTCTGAGTACTTCGAGTGAAGGTCTGAGTACTTCGAGTGAAGGTCTGAGTACTTGGAGTACATCACTCTGCTAAAAAAACTTTTGAGTCGACTCAAAAGTCAAGGTCTGAGTACTTCCGAGTGCATGCCTATGTTTGGAAACAGTCTGAGTTGCAAGAACTCTTCTCCACTGCCATACATCCCTGGGTTCGACTCAAGGTCTGAGAACTCTGCTCCACTGCCAAACACCAAACCAGGACGCCGCTTGCTACCTGCTTTGGATGTGTCTCCCTCCCTTCATCTCCCAAGTTTTCAGTTTTCCACCCCAGGATCGTTGTCAGTCTCGTAGAGAGGCCACAATGCATTCATGTGCTTTGCTTTGGAAAAATCCCTGGGTTATTAACTGCTGCATCCAGCCTTCTCTTTGATTCTCCCTTTTCGAGCACAGGGATGTCTCTAACAACTCTATTTCTGGGGAGATCCCACGGACTTTCAGGGTCACACCTTCTCTTCACATGCTGTAAGAAGTTGAACTACGGTGTGCTGTCGTGCCGCCACTGTGTGTGCTGCCACCATTGTTTTTACCTGGTGCCACCCTTTCTATTCATGTTCATAGCCATGGAATCATCGATCTCTCCCCTTGCATTGTACAGTAGCCTGGGAGGAAATGGCCTGACGGGCTCCTTACCAGACTTCTCACGCTGGAAAGTCAGCTGTGAACAGATGTAAGCCTCTCCACGCCTTCTTCCCCCCTGTCTGTTCCACTCTCAACATCGCTTGCTCAATCTCTGTTTTTAGCACCATGGGTTTTGTATACCATTTCATTGCACCCAAATTTAGCAGTTGTGTTCGCCTCACTCGCATGGATCTAGTTGCTGCCGCGCCTGTGTTGTCTTGTGGGTCAGAGATCTCAGCAGCAACAACTTCACAGGGTCGATTCCCGACTCCATCTCCACCCTCACCACCCTCATTGGCATGTGAGACTTCTCTTCTCTTCTCTTCTCTTCTCTTCTCTTCTCTCCTTGTGTGCCACAAAGAGCTCTGTGCTCATGAAGAAGGGCAGCAGTAGGCAAGGTCGCCTTTAGCAAAGGGACGATAGTCAACTAGTGAAAAAAGTAACCCTCGAAAAAATCGATTAAGATCCGGACTTACAACTCAGTTCAAACTCTAGACGAAAGCAAAAAGCCGTGAGACTTCTCATTGGCATGTGAGACTTCTCTTCTCTTCTCTTCTTGTGTGCCACAAAGAGCCGTTATGCCTGCCGTGCCAACGAGCTGCCACGTGAGCACATGTCCGTGAAGTGAAGCTATTCCCATCTGAACAAGGTGGGATGTCGTGTACAAAAGTCACCATCGAGCCTTTGCAGTGGCACGCAGCCTAGGGCACGAGAAAGTTAGCAGTGGCAGCCTATGGCAGGAGAAAGGTAGCAGTGGCAGCCTATGCACAAACGCAGCTACATACGCTTAATTCGCACTTCCAGCCAATGTACCCCATTGCTATCCCCTGCTCTGCAGTTTTCTCAACAACAACCAGCTGACTGGCACCATCCCTTCAGCCATCTTCACCATGAGGAATCTGACATACCTGTAAGCCTCATGGGTATAGGGATCCCCTTTCAAGTGCCCACTTTTGAGTCGACTCAAAAGCTTTCTAAGTGCCCATCACACGTTCCAGCCTCTGCCCACTGGTGCTTTTCTGCACCAGCCTGCACTACTGTTCTTGCATACGCTGCTTCTCATTGGAATGTCTCCCTGCCATTGCTGCTATTGCCCGTCAGCTATTTGGCCAACAACCATCTGACTGGGAGTCTGCCAGATGCCATCAGCAAATTGGAGAACCTTGAACAGATGTGAGGGTGCTATGTGCCTTCCTCCTCTACACATCTCAAGAATGGTGGCAGCTTACGAAACAACATTGGCATCACCAGCGCAAGCTTGTAGTACATCGGTCCTATAACAGACCTGGTAAACTTCCACACCATGAAATGGACACAGGAGATCATAACACGCAAACATCACCCGTGCCGTCCCCACTCCACCCCCTTCTCTTCATGCAATGGTTGGCGCCTTTGACCCTGCCAATGCTCTGCCTGCCCCCCAGCTGGTTGGACAACAACAAGATTGAAGGCCCTCTGCCAACTGGCCTATGCTCGCTGCACTGGCTGTGGCGCTTGTGAGTGGCTGTTATACACATGATTGATTGTTTTGAGGAATTATGGGTGCTAGAGAATGGATTATGGAATACTCCGTTGGCTTCATTGAGAGAGCTGTGGACTTGACACTTGCATTCACAACAGTTTGAATGCTCGCTGGCTACTGCTCATGCCAGTGGATGGACGGAACGACTCTGGCTTACAGCCCGACAGAAGCAGTTAGCTGCACTTGTGACGCAAGTCAGCTCGGGAATGCCAGCAACTTGCCAAACTGCGGAACAGGAAGTTTGCATCTAAAGCAGCTCGGGATGTTTGTGAAGCAACAGTTTGCCATCACTGCCGTATCACCATTGTCGTCATCCTATCAGTTATCACCACATGCCATCTTGTGACCACGGTCAGTTGTTTAGGATCGAAATCTCCGCGTCTTGCCCTCTGCAGACACACATAGCAGCAGCAGCAGAAGCAGTGCAAGGGACAGGCAAAAGAGTGAGCAGCAGCGGCAGCGGAGCACACAGCTGCTGCCACACAGGCTTGAGCAGCATCCAGTAGACACGTTCACAACCACCCCTGCCCACTACCCATGGGACTTCCAGAACATGGCTGCAGATGAGCATGTCCCGCTCTTTGCGCCGGGGCACCCCCTCCGCCTTCCCCACTGCCATCGCCCTCTGTTTCGTGCCCACTGCCCACTATCCACTGCTCCCCTGCTGCCTGCCCCCTGCAACCTGCCTCCTGCCCCCTGCCCCCTGCCCTCTGCCCTTTGCCCACTATACAGAGAGCGTGTGTGCAGATGAGTAGGCCTCTGTTTCTGCGCCGGTGCACCCCCTCCTGTTGCTCTATGCTTCTTCTTGGCTGTGTTTTGCCTCGACGCAGCACCCGCTCATGGCCTGCTTCCCCTCCGCTGCTCCCCTCCTGCCCACTTCTCCCCTCTCTTCTTCTGTCACCCCCATTCACTGCTGGCTACCGTGCCCTCATCCCCCTCTCCTGCCTCGGGTGATAGATAAGAAGGTGCAGGGTGGGTGGCTGCTGTTGAGTGGGTGCAGGATAGGTGCTTGCCCAGCCGTTCCTCACATCCCAACCACCATCCCTCGCCTTTCATTATCCCTTGTTACTATATTCATCTTTCTGCATTCACCGTCCTCTCCTTTCACAGAAGTTGCAAGCTGCCCTCTCAAACCTATCCAGCTCCCACCACACTCAACCTTGCTGTCCCCAACAGGCTTTTCAACCCCGCTCAAGACCAATATCAACAAGCTTTTCAACCCCGCTTTCCTACTGGCCCTTGGAGGTTTCTCCACCACTGTGCTCTGCCTCTTCTGGCCCTTCATCATCCTCGCCTTCCGCAACAGCAAGAACACCCCTTCGCTCCACAAGATCCTGCCATTTGGCGGAGGCGTATTGTCATGCTTTTATAATTAGTATAGATATAATAAGATAGGTGCATGACATTGTGAAGGAGCGTAATAGACTGTAGAGAAGTAAGGGGGAAAAGGGGAATGCTCGAGCGGGAACACAAAGCGAGCCGTGCGAAAGCACCGTTGCTCGGCAACGGTAACCACCGCTCACAATTACTTAAGCAGTAGCGCAAGTAGGGGATCTTTGCTTGCGAGTTTGTTTTCACACTAAGCTACAATTCAGGCTGGCGAAACCCCTAGCACCTAGCACGAGTGGAGCCAATTCCTAGCAAGCACGATCTGAGCCAAGGAAGAGCAGTGAGTCTGCCGAGCTCAGCCCCCAGTGGAAGCAATCTCCTCTCAGAGAGTAGAGGAGCTTTTAACAAACTCGCAAGCAAAAGCTAGCGTAAGAAGCAATGACCGACGAGTTTCGACTCAACTCTAGACTGAGTTACGCCAGAGAAAGCCAGCAAGCAGCGCCTAGCTGGAGAGCGCAACCGAGGGTAGTGACGACGGGCGACGGACAGACCGCCGATCGCCAAAGCCCGCGGCTAACTCCCCTGTCGTATCGCACCCCGCACCAGAGAGCGCGAGAAGGAGTACGCGAAATGGAGGAGAAGCGACACATTAGTTCGGATCCAGGAGGAACCCCGATCAACCCGCAATGGGCGAGCGAAGCAAGAGCGCGGTGGGAGACCAGATACGAAACCCGGTCGCCGAGGACGATGCCGGGAATGAGAAGGCAAGCCGGAGAAGAGAAGGAGGAGTGGGCTCAGCGGAACGACAGCGGGGGACAGCTGACCCCGCGAGACCGCGCGCTGATGGAAAGCAGAGTCGCGATCCCGACTGACGCACAGCCTCGCCCAGAATCTCCCAAGGCACATCGCTGGACCACCGCCGGACTGCCCAAGATCGAAGTCGCCGAGCGATTCACAGGAATTCCAGGAGTGGGACCGTCGCTGAAAAACTACCTTATGCAGCTGGAGACGGTCAAGTACTGTTGGGAGAGAGACGGCATGGATCCCGGTGAGTTCTTCAGACGCATGGTGGTGACGCTCTCGGGAGAAGCGGAGACCTACTATCGGATGGTGCGTCAGGAGATACTGGAGGAAGCAGAATGCCAAGAAATAGAGAACCCGACGGCGAGGTTCCTAGAGATGCTGAAAAAAGAGTTCCTGGGGCAAACCAAATCGCGAGTAGAGGAGTTCCGCGAGTTCCGCCGGAAGAAGGACGAGTCCCTGCTCGCGTACTACTGCCGGCTGAAAGAGTTGGCCGACGACCTGGAGTGTAAGGAGGAGAGACTGCTGGTGCGCAAGTTCGTGCGCGGATTGGACGAGGAGCTGAAGGGGGTGGTGCGCAACAACGTGTACGGAATTGGAGCTGACATTACACTGAAGGAGGTGTATGGGTTGGCGAAGAGGACAGAACATGCGCAACGCCTGCTTGACCTCGAGGACGGAGAGACGCGGACGAAGCCCAAAACGACCTGGGCGGCAGCCGCGATGCTGGAGCCAGAGCAAGCCGCGGTGAGCCGCCCAGACAGCAGGAGATGCCACGAATGCGGAGACGCGGGACACCTGAAGCGGGATTGCCCGAAAGCTCCCACCTGCGAGAATTGCGGAAAGCGGGGGCACAAAAGGGCGGAGTGCTACAGCAGGAAGAGAGAAGAGGGGCCGGAGACAAGGGAAGGGCTGCAAGCAGAGATCAAGCGGTTGCAGCTGAAGCTGGAAGGAAGGGGGACCTCCACGCACAAGGAGAGAGCCATGCTGGCATACGAGGAAGTGGAGGGAGTAGAGGAGGAAGAGGAAGAATACATCAAGGAGTACTCCTGCATGGCTTACCCACGCGAAAGAGACGAGATAGACCTGAGGCCCCGAAACCCAACGACGCAAGAGAGTGGCACGACGGCAGAGAGAAGCCGGCGATACGAGCGGGCGGGGGGAGGCAGCGGAACGGGGATGCGCAGGCACCCAAACGAGCGGCTGGTCTGCCAAGCCTCCGTCCTCATAGCCGACAAGGGTGGCCTGACGGTAGGAGGCCTGCCCGTGGGGCAGGCCATCATAGATACCGGAGCCCACCACGTTCTGATCGGCAAGGGCCTGGCGAAGCAGCTGAAGCTGGATCTACCAAGACGCCTGGTAGAGAGAGGTATTCTTCTGATGACCGCCGAAGGGGGGGAGCCGAAATGGATGCCACGCACCCGCAGGCCCATTGAGGTGGTACTGCTGCCAGGGACAGAGAAGGAGTGTTGCATCAGGCTCATCTGCGGGGTCTCGGAGTCAGAGGACTATGACATACTGGTGGGCATGGAGCTCCTCTACAGGGTGGGGGCCACCATATGCACTTGGCAGGAAAAGGTTCTCTACAGAGTGCATTACTGGGACCCAGAGAGCTCGGTCGGCACTCTACCGGTGAAATTCGTAAGGCAGGAGCCGAGGGAGGCGTACCAGGCGCAGAGGAAGGACCTGTCGGAGGAGCTAGACGACTGGAGCTGGGAGCAGTACGCAGAGGAGTACGAGGGCAGGACCGAAAGGAGAGCGAGAGGGGAAGATCCGCCCTCCCTGAAGGAAAGGGTGAGCAGAGTGTGGGCACTGGAGAGTGCCCTCTGTGTACTGGAGCTGTATGGAGGCATAGGGACGGGCTTGGCGGCGGCACTGAAGGCGGGCTGCTTCGTCCGGAAGTGGGTACATGTGGAGAAAGACCCAGTGGTCCGGAGGATGGCCAGGCATCACGCCTTGAAGCTGCTAGAAGACTACCCCAAGCAGATGTTAAGTACAGCCATCCCCGCAGAAGATGAAGCCTCCGTGGATGACGTGAGGGATATCACCGAGGAGCAGCTGGAGAGATGGGGGCAAGTGGATCTAGTGGTGGCCGGATGGGAGTGCCAGGGGTACTCCCGTGCGGGGGAAGGAAGAGGGATGGAGGACCCACGGGGTGCTTCCTTCTGGGATCTGCAGAAGGTGCTGGAGATGATACAAAGGAAGCAAGGAGAGGTAATCTACATCCTGGAGAATGTAGACCTGGCGGAGGACAGGAG